CACTTTCTTGCCACTTTGAGAGCAGCGTGGGATAAGGTCCTAAGAAAACCCCACAATAGGGTCATAATAGGGTTGCCCTAAGTCAGAAACGACTTGAAGTCACACAACAACAGCAACGAACAGTGTAGTGTGAAAGGGTTGTGTTGGTGCAGGCAGTGACTGCACTGGCAATTGTGCTCCCCGTGGCTTAGACCGGGGCAAGAATTGTTGTCAAACTATATAATTTGCCAGCATTCTTCACCACTGGCTCAGCTGGCTGGGGCTGCTGGGAAGGGCAATCCAACCCCATTGCACAATTCCCATCTCTTGCTTAGAGATTGCAGCGTAGGCAGTGGGGTGCCCATAGCTCTTTCGTCCACCTTGCTCTTGGTCCATGCCCACCTCTCCCTCGGTCTCCTTCTGCCTAATGCTGGACTGGCCCCCTGTGCACCATCTCACAGCCACCAGGAATCCTTCACCTGGCTGATAATGAAGGCTTTTGCAAGCCACCTCCTTTGCCCTTCTTCCGGCTCAGGTGTGAGCCTCCCCAAGGGCTCCTTCCAATTGCAGGTTTGCGGCCACTCCAGGGCAACGTTAATTGTAGTCCTTGCCAAGCAAGGGTCAGCAGCTCCTTTCCTTCCACGGGCTCCAGATGGGACTGCAAATTACTTTTTAGAAAAAGGAGCCACGAGTGGCAATGGTGACTGAGTGTCTCCAAGCTTCCGGCAAGTATCACACGGAGAAAGAGAGGAAAAAAGCAGCACATTTTTCTGTTGCATCAGAGCTGCCCTTCCTTTTGCCTGTGCCCATCATCTACCTGGAGGTGAGCAAAGGTGAGCCTGGATTTCTGATTTAGAGCCACTGTATTTCCTCCCCTTCTCTCCAAGAAGAAAGGTCACCATTTCTCTACCTTGGGGATTATCGATTTCGTCCCACCCCTCAGCCCTGTTCTTGCAGGCTGAGCAGAAAACATAAATCATGCCAATTCTTCCAAAGACCTCAAAGGCAGGAGCCAAGAGGGCTCCGGTGGAAACTACATTTCATCAGCTGGCGGGATTGCTAGTTTCTTTGCTCAGTCTTGGTCTACAGGCCTTGGGCAAGGATGATGCTCATGCAGTGGTATCCGGTGGCTCCTATGCCAGCGGGGCAGTGAATCCATTCCAGGTTTTAATACAACCTTTAAGTGGGAGCTGTCCAAAGTGATTAATCCTATTCCTAGATTGCATTCCTTGCAGTAATGCAAAATGTGGAAAGGATTCAATGCCCCACTGCCATTGTGAAATCCAAAACGCCTCTGCTCCCAAGCATTCTGGATAAAGGATACTCAACCTGGTATGAACTAACTTGGTTTGTGTGTGTTAACACACATACACATACCTTCAAATCAGCTGCCAACTTATGGCAATCGCATAAATTTCATAGCATTTTCTTAGGCAAGGAATACCCAGAGGTGGTTTTGTCAGTTCCTTCCTTTGAAACAGAGCCTACAAAGCACCTGGTTTGCAGAAGTACAAAATAATCTGGTAGAGAAAAAAAAGATGGGAGGGAATCAGATCAATGAAGACTGACCAAGCTCGGTTATCGAGAAATGCAGACTGCCTATTTAGGGATGGTTAGCTGGAAAAACAGGGAATAAGGAATGGAATGGAGCTTCCTGGAAAAGGACATGGGACTTATTGGAAAACTAAACAGACACTCCCCACCATTTTATTGCAGCCTGCAGGTGTGATAATGCAAATATTTTCCCTACCATGGTGCTAAACAATGGGATCGAAAACTTCCCAGGCTGAATCTCTGCAAGGGTGCAGAGATGGCCCTTAAAAGGTGCAGGAACAGACCTGGTTTTCAAATCCGGCAACCATGCAAAGTTGCTGATGATGATGAGAGATGGTTTAGAAGAGGATTTCGCCAGGCACCAGATGGAGGCACATAAGCTGTGAATGAGGGTGGGAGTAGGAGCCTCGAAATTCTCCAAACGGTCCAATCCAGCAACGTCTGTGATGCATGAGTTCCTGTTTTGTGATCTTTGGGGGAGGCCAGGAGAGCTCAATGTTTGCTTTGCTCATCGGAGAAGGTGGGCGTGGAACAGATGTAGGCCTGATGGATGGATTTCCCTTCCAAAGCAAAAGAAAGGTGCAAGGAGAAGAGGAAGCGGTGGGATGGAGAGATCCTGGCTGCTTCCCTCCAAACTAGCAGGGTTACAGATTTATATTGTATTACATTATATCTGACATCTTTCACGTGTGTAAGATCCTCCCCAGGAGTGCTTGGATATTTTCCCTTTGAATGCAGAACGTCTGAGCTCAGTTGGTTGCAGAAGCAGAGTTGCGCATGGGGATAGATACCATTATGCCTGCAGATGCGCAGTCGCATATGAATGTATTGCGCATAGGTGCACAAGTGCCATAGGAGTAATGCTTTATGGCATGGGTGAAAAATCTTTGCCCCTCCATATATTTTGCCCTATGCCTAGACGGTATGGCTGTTCATACAGGATTTTGGGAGTTGTTGGCCAAAACAACTGGAGAGCAAAGGTTGGCCCAGCTGATTCTAATACTTTTTTTTGTAGGCCTTCAAGTGGTTTCTGTCTTGACCCTGAGACAGATTTATAATGTGGTTTTCTTGGTAAGATTTATTCAGAGGATGCTTGCCACTGCCTTCCTCAGAGGCTGAGAGAGTGTGCCACTTGCCTAAGGTCAACCAGTGAGTTTCCATTGCAGAGTGGGGATTCAAACCTCAGTCAACAGTCCTACTCCCATGCTCAAACGACTACACCACACGTGCTCTCTGGTGCCACAACAAACTACAAATCCCAGGATTCCATAGCACTGAGCCATGGTAATTAAAGCTGGGTCCAACTGCATTATTTCTGCAGTGCAGATGCAGCTCAAGTCCCAAG